TATAGTTACTTTTATCAATTATCCGTTAAATATGTTGTTAACGCATAATCCATAAGTTGGATGCTTGTTCATAGGAATGGCTATTTAATGTTAATTAGCCATGTCAATTGTTCCCTAATCCTATCTGTTTTCATTGTATAATTTTTTTGCACATGTACAATAGTGCCTTGGAATTTTACCCTTTCTACTATTTGTTCAGGATTTTGTGATACGTCAGGACATGACTGGTGGTAGCACCATCGGACCTTTTCTCTCCTCTCAGCTCGGTGTACCTACCGTGGACATTGGAGGACCACAACTAGCGATGCATTCTTGTAGAGAGATGACCTGCACCTCCAGCATTGATCAAGCTATTCAACTATACACTGGCTATTTTGAGCGCGCTTCTATGATCTGGCAGAGCATTCGTTACATGTGATTTCTAGACAGTGATCCTACCATTCAACCAATCTCACAATAAGGCAGATAGATATATACGTGTGAAAATAAGCTGATGGATAGACATATAAACACAAATATACTCAAATATATTACTTCTAGCTCCGCTTGAGTTGGACGATACTTATTTCAATGATATGGCATGTGCATTGACCATTTGGCAATCAAGGTAGTGCATACACCTCAGGTTACATCGCTGGAATTGCAGGCGGGACTTTCCGCGGATTGTATAAGTAAATGTATACTACTAGAATACATTCATTCATACATACATCCAGATGCTAGGGCAGACATAGAGACCGAGCAGTTGACAGATAGGTTCATGCAAATGTATAGGCCTACAAATGGGCCGATGACCATATTTACTCTGTGCCAATTCAGTCGCCATTAGCCACTTATCGGCGACACGCACCTGACTTTTTGATACATTTTTAATACTATCGCTTCTGTAGTATGCTGAACCTCCCATCTTATGAGATAGATCAGCCCTCTGATCTCCCCTTCCCACTTACTACCAAGAGGCCTCCTGTTTCCCAAGCTGCCTAAATTGCCTATCAAGAGGATACTTCTTTGTTATTCCCATTTATCCCTGGCTCTTTCTTCATAACTCTTCTTTTCTCCTCTTTCCTCCATCCAGTATGTGATCTGGATATAATATCTT